ATTTTTTCCTTGTTAAGCCTAGGGAAATTATGTGAGTCTAGGGAAATGAACCAATACATGGTTCATTTTGTCCACATTGTCAAATTTCTGGCATAGAGTTTTTGTAGTAGTCAGAAATAATCTTTTATATCTCGGTGGTATCCGTTGTTATTTCTCCCTTTTCATTTCTGATTAAGACTATTAAAGATTTTCTATTTCTATTTAAGCTGGTAAATGGTTTATCAATTTTATTTGTCTTTTCGAAGAATCAATTTTTTATTTCATTAATTTGCTGAATGATTCTTTTGTTTTCAATTTCATTTATTTCTGATATAATTTTGGTTATTTTTTACCATCATTTTTGGGATTGGATTGCTCTTCTTTTTCCATTTCTTTAAGATGATTTATTAGAGTGTTGGTGTGCTCTCTTTCTGTTTTTCAGATATAGGCATCTCATGTGATAAATTTCCCTGTTAGGCTGGCTTTTGCAGTGTCCAACAGGTTTTGGTAGCTTGTGTTTTATTATTGTTATGCTCAAAGAAGTTAATGGTTTTTTTTTTTGAGACAGAGTTTCATTTTGTCACCCTTTGTAAGGTGTTGTGGTGTCATAGCTCACAGCAACCTCAAACTCTTGGGGTCAAGCAGCTCTCTTGCCTTGGGCTCCCAAGTAGGTGGGACTATATGCACCTGCCACAGTGCCTGGCTATTTTTAGAGATGAAGACTTGCCCTGGCTAGGCTGGTCTTGAACTTGTAAGCTCAGGCAATCCACCAGCCAGAGTGTTAGGATTACAGGTGTGAGTCACCACACCTGGCCCTTTTTATCTCTTTTTTGACCCAACTGTCATTCAATGTAAGTTTGTTTAGTTTTTATGCCTTTCTGTGGGGATGAAAATTTTTGTTGGAGTTGAGTTCTACCTTTATTGCCTTGTGATTAATTCTTTTGATCCTGTTGAGGTTTGATTTGTGTCCTAGGATATGATCAATTCTGGAGAATGTTCCTTGTGCTGATGAGAAGAATGTATATTCCTTACCTTTGGGATGGTGTGTTTGTTCCATATATGTCTATTAAGCATAGTTGTTCTAGGAGCATATTTAAGTCCCTTGTATCTTTGTTTAGTTTCTGTTTAGAGGACCTGTTCAGCTCTGTAAGATGAGTGTTAAAGACCCTTACTATTATAGTATTATAGGATATCATATTGCTCAGACTAATTAAGATATTTTTCATAAATCTGGGAGCATTTAAGTTGGGTGCATAAATATTTAGAATTGAAAATGTCTTCTTGTGGTATTGTTCTTGTACCAATATGAAGTGACCATCTTTGTCTTTTTTTTACTTTAGTTGCTTTAAATTCACTTGTATCTAAAAATAAGATCGTAATGCCTCCTTTCTTTTGATTTCCATTTGTCTGAAATATTGTTTTTCATCCCTTCACCCTGAGTCTTACTTTGCCTCACAAAACTAGATGTGTTTTTCTGTAGGTAGCTTGAACTTTTTTAATCCAATCCTCTAGCCTGTACCTTTTCAGTAGGGAATTCAAGACATTAACATTTATTAAGAGAATTGATAAGTGTGGTGGAGATAGCACTCTGAGAAGCCAAGGCAGGTGGATTGCCTGAGCTTACAAGTTCAAGACCAGCCTGAGCCAGAGTGAGACCTCATCTCTAAAATACAAAAAAAATCCAGGCATTGTGGCAGATGCCTGTAGTCCCATCTACTTGGGAGGCTGAGGCAATAGAATCACTTAACCCCAAGAGTTTGAGGTTGCGGTGAGCTGTGATGCCAGAGCACTCTACCAAGGGCAACAAATGAGACACTGTCTCCAAAAAAATAAATAAATAAATAAATAAATGATGGAGTTCTATTCATCTTATTTTGTGAAAGTCCATGCTTAGTTTTATCTTTTGCATCATTGTGGAAGCTAGGTTTTTCCTTTAGTTTCTGGGTATTTAGTTTGCTGGTGGTCCATTGTGATTGTCAGTGTGCAGAAGAGGTCTAAGAAGTTCCTGTAGAGCTGGTCTTATTGTGGTGAATTTCTTCATTTTATTTCTCCATCAATTTTAAAGCTTAGCTTAGCAGGATATAGAATTCTGGGCTGAAAACTGTTTTATTTGAGAATGTTAAAGGTAGATGACCACTCTCTTCTGGCTTGAAAAGTTTCATTTGAGAAGTATGCTGTCACCCTGATGAATTTTCCCCTGTAGGTCAGTTGGCACTTATTCCTGGCTGCTTCCAGAATCTTTTGTTTTGACTTTGGACAAGTTCATAATGATGTGTCTTGGAGAAGCTCTGTTTGAGTTGAAATGACCTAGGGATCAACATCTCTCTGAAAGGGGTGTGTCAGAATCTTTGATTATACTTGGGAAATTTTCATTTATGATATGCTCTAGTAGGGCTTCCATTTTTCTGGGGAATTCTTCCCCTTCTCAGATACCTATAGTTCTTATGTTTGAATGCTTCATGAAGTCCCATAATTCTCTCTGTGAAAGTTCTGCTTTCTCATTCTTCTCTGCCTCTTTAATGACCTGTGTTAGCTCAAGAGCTTTATCCTCTATGTCTGAGATTCTTTCTTCTACATGGTCTAATGTGTTGTTGATACCTTCTATTGCATCTTTACGTTCCCTTATTGGCTGCTTCTATTTCTTAAGCTCCACTATATCCTTCCCATTTTCTTCATATCATTCATCTCTTATTTGATTCTGTTTTTAGATTTCCTTTTCATTATTTTCCTCTTTCTCAGAAATTTCTTTCATTGTTTTTGCCATTCATATTTTAAATTCCCTTTCTGTCATTTCTAACACTTCTTTGTAGGAGGAATCCTCTGCAGTAGCTACCTCACAAACAGGTGGGGGGCATTGCTCTCTTCTGGTTTTTCATGCTGGCGAGATTTTCCTGAAGTTTCTTTCTCATAAGTATTTTCTTTCTTTCTGTTTCCTTACCTTATTTTTTTCCTTTCACTTCCTCCTCTTTAAATTATCTTTCCTGTGACCTAAAAGGTGAACAGTGAAGAGCAAAAAGGGAGAAAAGATAAAGAAAAAAGAGAAAGGGGAAGGTTGACAAAAAGAAGAGAAGAACAGAAAGAAAGAGACAGGAGTAATAGTTGTGTATAGTAGGGTACTTTGACCCACATTTACACATCCCAGCCTCTGAGGAGAGAGGTTTGATGGGTCCTTTGAGGTCAGAAGCTCTTTGTCAGCCTGAGCAGACACAAGACCCCACCTCCACCAAATAGAGAAGAAAAACAAAAATACTATAAATTAAAACCAAACAAAACACCTTAAGGGATAAAATTGGATGGGGGGAGAATAACATAAGCATAAAAACTAGAAAAAATTGAGACCTTGTTATTGGTATTTGATCTCCATATATTGGAGAAGAAGAAGACCTTATATATATTATATATATATAGATAGATAGATATAGATATAGATATTACAAATATATATATATATACATACATACCCTCCATATATTGCCTGGCAAGGAGATCTCCTGGAGTATGAGACACTAATCACAAGACTGATAATAGGTGTATAAGAAGGAGGCTGGAAACATCTGTCTTGCTGAGTAGACCTGGTCCTATCTTCCTATTTTGCCCTCAATCTCCACAGCGTTGAGAGCCTAAAACTCTTATGAGCCTGCTTAACAAACATTCTTTGACCTTTACAAACTGTGTCCTTTGGCCATGCAGTTGCTTTTCCATGTAAGTGTGTGTTGCTCAAATCCCCCCACAAGTGGCTGCCCAGATTATCAGGCAGTCCAGAACTTGCCTCACCCTAGGGTCCCCAGGGCTGGTTCTGCAAGGGAGCTTTCCCAAAATGGCTGCTCCCAGTGTGCAGCCAAACAATGAGAGCTCCACTCTCTCTGGTGGCTCAGTTTTCGCCCCTGGGTGCTTTTCAAAATCACTTGCTTGCTCAGCCAACCTCTCTCAAGATAACTCAAGCAAGTGCCCAGGTCTAAAAAAAAGCACTCCCCCACAGGGCAGGCAGGCCCTCTTTGTCTGTAAACTGTCACCTCCAGCCTCTGCCAGCACACAAGTACTTGCCCTTGTGCTGCTTCTCCACTGCATCCGACCTCTTCCTGGGGTTCTGAAGTCTCCTGCTGCCTCTTTGTCTCCCCAAATGGATGTTTCTGTGCAGAGCCCATAAGCCAGAGGTGCCTGGAGTCCTTTCTCCCCCATCTCCCCAATCTCCCCACACACAGCTACAAAGAAGCTTTCTCTAGTCTGCCATCTTGCTCCACCCTCTGTCTCCCCTTTACTGACCAAAGCAATTTCTAAAGACAGAGCTTCATAGGTAAGGCTATTTAATTATTATTCTTCCAACAATCTATGGGGTTCAAATCTCACCATACCTGAGTTCTATAACAGTAGGAAAGAAAAAATGAACCAAAATGGAATTGTGTCACCAGTGAGAGGAGGAAGGAATTATTTTTACCATTCGGCAGCTAAGAAATGTTCTTATTTATAATCAGCAATAGAGAAACACCAACAATTGAAGTATATTGGGGTTAAATTTTGACTCTTTCTAGAAGGCTTTTTTAAACTTAAATATTGATATAAAAATGGTTATGCATCACACTATCCTGGTTGTACAGTCTAAAATCAGAATAAAATTTGGTTAAAGTCAACTATTACAAGTTGAAACTAGTTGATGAATTCAAGAGCATAACACAGAGTAAAATAAATAACCAGAACAAAAGTATGCATGCTGAATGAAATAAATTTATTAGGAAACTAACAGCAAAATCCCTTCCAACCCATACCCAATTCATAATACGTCCATGTAGAAGTTAATAATGCATAAGCAGAGCAACCTTGGGAGAAAACAACTAGCTTCACTGCAGAAATTCATGGATGGCAGAAAAATATATCTTGCTTCCTTTGGCTGTAGATGACTATCATCAGTTCAGCATTTCAGTGATTCGCCCAGCATCATAGAAGATGAGGACTTCAGCAGGAAGTCCACAAAAAAGATGGAAGACATATTGCCCATGCACATTGGGAGACAGGAAGACAGTCATTGCTCTTCAGGTTGTTCGATGGACTGAGAGTTGATTGGGAGTTCTATAGTTGCTGAAGCCATTGGTTCATTAGTAGGTGCTGTAGCCAAAGCCAGAGCCAGAGCCCCATGGCCTGCAGAAGCTGCCACCATAGCAACCACTCAGGTCGTTGAAGTTGCTACCACCAAAACTGTAGCCCAGGGAGCCATAGCCAGTGCATCCAAAACCATAGTTCAGGGGAGAACCCAGAGGCACAACACAGTTCAGTGGGGTGGCTCTGAAGGTCCTGTGAAAGTTGGTCCCATAGCAAGGATAGCCTGGGAAGTAGTTTCCACAGCAGAAGTAGCGAGTCATGGTGGCAGAAGCCTAGAAGGATTGGGATGGACTGTGAAGAATAAGACACCGAAGTGTGAATGAAGGTTTCCTTCTGTACAGGGCTTTATATACCTAAAGCTGGTGGACACAACATGCCAATCTAAACACGTCCCCATTGATTTGCATAAGTAACCTCATTATTCTCTAATAAAACACAAATAAAGGAACCCACAGACTCATTCCCCACATTTTTGTTGGCTTTTCTGGGTTCTAACTTCAAAGCTAGCAACCATACTTGACATGATGCAATTGAATTCTTTTTGTCAGTGTCCCAGAGTTTAACTACTGTTCTCATTGCATCATGTGGAACTCTTTAAAATCTTCTGATTATATTAATAAATTCCTCCCAATTGACAAGGCTAGAATGAAAAAAAAAAAAAGCTTTGGTAAGAATCTGAACACTTCAAATCAAGACAAATCCATATATTGAGGTCTTTTGTACATATATTTAAAACTGAACTTCTATGTCCTCTTGAAATCCACTCCATATCCCATTTATAAAAACAGTGGTGTACCAATTAATTAATGGATATATAGAGATATAGAGTTTCCTCTTGGGGTGAAGAAAAAGCATTTGGAACTATAATAGAAATGTTATTTGCAAAACATTTTGAATGTACTAAATACTATTGAATTGCTCACATTAAAATGGCTTGTTTTGTTATATATAGTTTACCTCAATAATTTTTTTTAATTTTTAAAAAGCATTTCTTCATATATCCATCAAAACCAGTCTTTTTACAGAGGCATCAAGGGCATCAAACAATAAGTTGACTATAGATAAATTACTAGTAATTTTCAGCTATTTTATTTACAAGCATCCTCTTTGTTAACATATATTTTACTTTGTGTGGAGAACATACAAGCTTTAGTTGTAAATTATCCTGAACATTGCTGAATTGTCTGGCTGTAGAGTTGCCACACTAGTGCTCAGTGAAATGATGCCCAATTTCAAAGTCATGTTATACCATGCTTGGTTCTTATTGACCTAGTAAAACAAACCTGAACGCCATGATCCATTGTGAAATACCAGTTATATTTAAGTATTCAGCACTTATTTCTGCTTGCATTTAGCCCTCTGTGACTATTTCTCATCATGAAGGTAAACCAAGAATTTGAGCTCAGCAAAGCTAAGTCCATACCAATTCAAATGTTTAATGCATAATCTTTTTTACATGTGAATAACATTCTATGTACTTCAAAGTAGAAAGAAAAAACTTCCTGGATACAATTCTTTTTGCTTATTGTCCTCTTAATGGGCAATACAGGTAAAACTATTTTCCTCAGAACATCTCTCTCCTTGTTAAGCCTCTGGCTCTCTCAGATTCTCTGACAGAAGAGCTTCCTACCTAACATTTTATAAGTGTATATGGTTTCTTTTATTCTACAAATTAACATGTCATAAAAGGTTTTTTTTTCTTTTCCTTTTTATTGTTGGGGATTCATTGAGGGTACAAGAAACCAGGTTACACTGATTGCATTCGTTAGGTAAAGTCCCTCTTATAACTGTGTCTTGACCGCAAACTGAGACCCCCACCCATTCCCTCCTTCCCTCTCTCTGCTCTCACCTTCCCCAGAGAACTAAAAAATAAGGCCTATTTTCAAATTCAGTTTGGCTGAATTAAAATGGTAAAATGCTGTGTCCTCAAGGGTGCAAATGATATAAACTCTACATCAAATAATCCATAAAAATTAAAAATATGTTTGTGAGTAGGAGAGGGCAGAGGTGACTAACAATTAAATGTGACCATGAAGTAGCTACTTGAAAAATCTAACTTTGCTGATTCTACCACACATTACAACCTGTAATTTGAAAATACTGCCACCAGGTGGCAGTAGTTTTCACTTACTCAGTTTGAACTACAGGGCTGGGTTTGGGAAAGCAGGCAAAGGAATCTCTTGAAAATCTTTGAAATTCAGAATTCCAGGAGCTCTCCTATCCCACCACCACCATGATATTCTGGAACTCTATATTTTTTAAGGAGTATCACAGATGATTCTCATGAATATATCATCCTGATAAGTTCTAGGACATTTTTACATGAGATTTTGAGAAAATTGTCTTTGCTTGGCTATATGAAATTGGAATGTTATCTCTGATTGGCAAGAGTATTCAGCTTCAGTCACAGGTGACCTATTTTCTTTTATTCTGGATGATAAAGATAATTAAAGAAAATGCCTGCGTTTGGCTTTTTCCCATTTCCCTGTGCTCTCTGCTTCTTGTTTTAGGACATATCTGATTAGAAAGGGAAGGTAATAGCACTGTGTCCATTCATATTCCCAGAGGTAAAACCCACCTGAGTGGCCTATGGTTTTGTTACCCCAAAATTATATTTTCTCCTTGCTTTTTTAAATGTTCCTATCTTCTATTAGACTTTCCTGGAGAAAATTATCTCCCAAGTATTTGATGGCTATTCAATAATTATATCTATTTTAAATACTCAAGTAGTTAAATGAATTACAACAAATATCCTTGGAAGATTCAAGGCTCTGTTCTAAACAATTTACACATACTTAATAATATATTTTACCTATATATGTAGTAAGAAGACTTACTGTACATTATTCCAAGCACTTTGACAAATGTTAATTCATTTAATTTTTATAATGATCTTATGATGTGGGCATTTGACTTTTTAAAAGAAAACTGAGTCCACAGAGTTTAAGTAAATTGCCAAGATCACATGGTGAATAGTCAGCAGAATCAAGCTTCAAACCCATACCATCTACCCCCAAAGCCATGCTCATAACTACTTTACTATACTGCCTTTGATAGGTGATTAATACTTTAAAGGGCTTCAGCTTATGAAGTGCTTCAGAGATACAATTCACTGCGTTATTTTCTCAAAGAACATATCAGTCAGGAAAGGCTAGTTTCTGCCTTCGAAACAGACAACCACAATCTCCGTGCTTGAAAAGGTCTGAGATTTATTTCATGTTTACGCACCACATCGCTCTTGGGTTGGTGGGTGTCTTGAATGCAATCATTCTTATTCAAAGATTTACTCTGACAGATCATCAATTACCTGAAATATCACAGACAGGAGAAGAGAATGTGGCAAATCATGTGCTAGCTCTTAAAGACTCTGACTAAATGTCATGCACCACTTCCACGCGCTTCTCACTTCCTAAGGCAGGTTTCACGGCCACCTCTAACTTCGTGGCTCATGAAGAGTGATCCTGCCAAGTCACCTGGAGGGAGAAAACCCATAATGTCTCAGAACATCAATGACTTTCATAGGGAGTTTATGTTCTTTACATGGGCTAAAATAATTTTAACAGATTTTAACACATATTCCAAAATATTAGGTAATAGGATGGAAACAGAAATAAAAAGGTTTTAGGACATTACATAATATAATTTGAAATAGTTCTGATAATTCTGATACCGAACAACTTTAAATATATAGATTTCTATAGGTTCTCTGTACAATTCATTCACTATACTATCTGCACTTAGTTTTAAAGTAGTTGATAACATTTTTCATTGTATTCTTTTTTCCATCCATAGACTTTAGTCACTATATAATCTAATTGAGGAAAACATTGCCATAAATATAAATTTTACAAAGAAAACCCTTCAATGCCATTTGATTGGGGGGGAAATAGAATAGTTCTAACATCACATTTTCTATGACTTATTTGAATGTGTATATTCTCTTTAGAGAAAAGAGAAAATGAATAAACAACAATATCTACAAGGAAACACTAAAGGCGAAGGGGCCTGCTGGATTTTCTCACTTGCATATTTAATGAGCATCTTTATCAGGCATGGATTTCTTATTATTTCACAGCCTCTCAGCGTCCCTTTCCTCCTATGCAGCTGCCCACATAGGAAATGTATCACTGTAGGTTCTAATCCATCTCAGTCAGGTACAAAATGATGGTGCCTTGCCCCAGTGCTTCACCAGACATCCATCACCATCATTCCTTGGTGACCCAAGGAATTCACCTTTAAAATCTAGGAAGATACCATGAAGCTTGTTTGGTGTCCATGCTCATAAAATTTGGAAGTATGGAGAAACTAATGCCCTGTGGGGCAAGCAGACATTTGACCAAAGAGAAATGGACTTCTGGTTGTATTCTCTCCTTTTCTCCATGGGATGGGATTTTCTGAGGTTGTCCTGAGAGGATTATACACTCTTTTTGGAGAGTGGTCTCACGGTACTAACAACACAGTTGTACTTAGCTGTGGTCAACTCAACGAGGCATCTTCACATGAACTCTCTACGGCCTTTCCTCACTCCCTGGCCCCTCATCCCTGCTCCCTAACAAAGAAGTTATACATAATCCCTTCACTATAAACTGCTTTCTGGAGAACCCAGAACAAAATGAAATCTCAAATCACTTTTTAAAATAATACTTTTATTGAGATATAACTCATGTTATAAAAATCACCCCAAAAAGCATAATTCAGTGAGTTTTAGAACATTTATGGAATTGAGTGTAACCATATCCTTATCCAATTTGAGACCATTTTCATCACCCTAAAAAGAAACCTCATAATCACTAAAAGTTACTCCTGATTTGCAACCACTAAGCTAAATTCTTTCTCTATGAGTTTTCCTAGTCTGGACATTTCACATAAAGGAAATCACATTGATTGTGGCCTTTTATGTCAGGCTTCTTTCACTTTACTCAATATTTTCACTGTTCAAACATGCTGTAACATGTATCAGTATTTCATGCCATCTTTATCACCAGATAGCATTCCATCATACAAATATACCATATGTTGCTCATCTAGCCATCACTTGACAGATATTTAGGCTGCTATTCTGGTGATGCTACTATGCGTATTCTTGTGCAATTTTTAATATTTCAAAACTTAAGCTGCCACTTATCTCCTAGACACCAGTCTTTCCCATCACAGCAAATAACACTGCCATCGAATTGCTAAGAACAAAAACTTAATTGTTCTCTTCATCATCATTCCTCCATCCAATGTGTCCTTGGGTCCCATCAGTGCTACCCCCAAAATATCTCAAAGCCATCACATTTCTCCAC